AGGAGCATCAGAATCAGAAGGATGTGCCTTTGTCCCAAGCACTGACCAACAGCCTTGCTGAGTGACCTCAGAGAAGACATCACGCCTCCACCAAAGGAACCAGGAAGCCTCTGGAAAATAGCTCAGGAGACCTCAGAGCACCCGCCTTGCAATGTGAGCCCCGAACACTTTCTGCCTCACATCGCGGCCATATGGTGTTGGCTTGGTCCTGACTTGATACTAATTATCTATCACTGCCTAACAAATCACATTAAAATTTAGCCACTTAAAACAACCAGAATTTATTAGCTCTGTCTCTGAGTCAGAAATTCAGGAGTAGTTTGGCTGGGTGGTTGTTGCATGAGGTCTCTGTTTTAAATTTAGCTTAAATTCTTATTTAGGTATGGCAAGGCCAACAGATAAGGAAGCAATTGTCATTGAAAAGATAGTTTGTTAATCACAGATCCCAGACAAGCAGAAGGACAGAGTGGAGTTGGCCTTTTGGGAGCTGGAACCAGGGACCTAAAAAATCTCCTTCCTTCCCTCCCTCCCCCCTTCCCTCTCTCTCTCTCTCTCTCTCTCTCTCTCACACACACACACACACACACACACACACACACACACACACACACACGAGTCACTTTTCTCTGTGCATGGCTCCACTCTCAGCTATAACCAACCCCAGTCTGCTCTGAATTCACATCCTTGCAGCCTCTTGAACAGAAAAGAAAATCCTGGCCTCTGACGGAGCCCTGGCCCCTGGCCAGCTGCTTTCTAGGATGGGTCAGGGAAGGACCCTGATGGACCCAGCTCCGTTCTCACACTCCCCCAAGCCCTGGGCCTGGGTCACAGGGGTCCGGAGGACAAGACCCGCTAGCAGCAGAGGGTGGTGGGGGCTGGGGGTGTGCAGGAAAAGAAGCACGGGGACATTGCCAGCCTGCAGCTGGGCGGCCATCCCAGTGTGCGTGCTGAAGTCGGAGTTGCCCTATTTTGGAAATAACGGGAAAAAATCAACTGCTCCAAACTCTCAAAATGGTGACTTTCCACAGATGTGGCCTCACCAGTAGGTCTATTCCAAGACAAGCGTACTGAGCCTGAATCTTCAAGAAGCCACCTTCTCCTTGTTGACACACCCTCAAGCCAGAATCCAGTCTTGCTGACAAGGCAGATGATGGGTGAGCCAAACGGCTTCATTTTATTTTCTCCCCTGGGCGCTGCTCTTAAGAACAAGGCTCGTGAAAGTAAGTCGAAGAGGCAGCAAGCAAAGCTCATGCCCCCAGGATCCTGGGCTAGTTTCCTGATCTTGTGGGCAATCCCATCTAGAGATAAAAAGGCTTCCCCATCACCCTGCCCGAAGTCCTCCAACGGGAAGATTCGAGCTCAAGTGTCGTTTCGTTGCCAAAAACACCTCCCAAACACTCAGCATTTCGCGGGGAGGGAGGGTAAATGTTTCTGTAGCTTAGCTCTGACCTGTTTGTTTTCTCATCTGTAAAGTGGAGGCTTTAAGACCTGCCAAGTGTCTGGCTATAGGAGGTGCTTGGTAAAACAATGGGGCACTTTGTGACCAGCGGGATGACAGGAGAAGAAATAGGCCTGTAGAGGATTGGCCGCTTGTCCCTGGCTGCGGCATGGGGTAAGGGTCCCAGGGTCCCAGACCAGGGCAGGGAGAGTCCTCAGGCACCCACAGGGCCGGGTAGGGAAGAGGCATGGGGTGGGGTGGTTGTGGTGGAAGGAAGCCCAAGTCAGAGTCATCTGGGAACCCTAACAGAGCTGGGAGAAAGTGGTGGAGGCAGGATGCAGGGTGGGATGGAACCAAAGGCAGTGTTGTTGGGGGGGCGGGTGAGACCCACAAGCTGAGACCTGAACCCAAGACCCTGAAGCGGCCTCAAAATGTACCCCTGAGGTCTGGGGTCACTCTCTGCACCCTCATCCCCACCCTCCCAGAGCTGCCTTAGGTGAACCAACATCGGCCCCCTTGATGCCACCCCATCTGAGTCAATGGCAGCTCCTTGAGGACCGGGAGCCCTGGGAGAACTGGAGTTTTTACTCTGTAACCAGCGGGGAGCAAGCCCAGTCAGCAGTCCCTGAATGTTCCAGTCTTCAAATGGGAACTAGCCCCACTTCTGCCCCTGACGGGCTGGAAGCCCAACCTTTCTCTTAGGGTTCCTGTCCCCCCATATAATTAGAGGGGTCATCAGAGTTACCAAGCCCCTGCAGGTAACTGCAGTCACCCTATGCCAGGATATAAAAAAATCGTGGCCCAAGCCTCCTATAGCAGAGTCATTCCAAGCATAGGCTGTGGGGCCGGAGAGCCTGAGTTCAAATCCTGCCGTGGTCTCTTAACCAGCTGTCTGTCCTTGAGCGGGTTACTTCACCTCTCTAGGCCTCAGTGTCCTCTCTGTAAAATGGGGATATTAGTAGCATCTACTAGGCAGGTTCTCCTGTGAAGACTAAATGAGTTAATATATGAGAAGTGCTTGGGACATTGCTTGGAGAAAGCTCAACCTTGGGGGGGTCACTTGTCACCTCTCTAGCTGGAGGAGCTCCCAGCCTCTCCCCAGCTGCCCAAACAGGGGCCCTGCCACTCCCCAGGGTCCCTCCTCCTGGCTGCAGGGAGCCTCTTCCATCCACCTCCTTGGGGCCACAGAGCTGCACAATCGAAATGCCCAGCCCAGTTACCCCACAGAAGATGGAAGCTGTTGGTCACAGGAAGCTTTCAAAAGAGCAACTTTCCTCCTGCTGCCTTGGGACCCACAGGATGCCCGACGGTCCCCCAGGCCTGTTCTGTGGCCTCCTTATGGCCGCTGTCCTGTCTGCCTGCGCCGTGAACGACCGCGGCCCAAGGGTTCTGCGCTCCCTACCACAAGCCACTGGCTGGGGCTGCCTGCCCCCCTCACACCAGGCAGGGTTGCGAGTTGAACATGCTCTGGGGGAGGCTAAGAGGACACGGGGCACTGAGGAGGCGCACAGGCCTCAGCCCTGCCCTACAGGCGCCCTGGGCAGGCTCATGTTGCAAGCAGGACCACAGACTCTGCCCCCAAGCCAACGGGAGCTTCAGGGTCCCACCCCTGTCCTCTCGGGGACCGATGGGCCCTTCCTGGTACATTCCACCCAAAGAGGCCCGCTGTCCTCTAGAAACCCAAACTGCCAACCGGCCCCCCAAACCCAAAGCACACAAGACTCCCCGCACGAGACTCTGCTTGAAGTCCATTGAGCACGGGCTCCTCTGAGGGGCAGCCAGGCCTCCAGCCTGGGAATGTCATACCCGCCTTCCTCAGTGAACCCCTCTCCGGGCCTCAGTTTCCCCATCTGTAGGGTGAGGGTATTGAGTTCCACGATTCCCACAGCCTCCTGAGCACTGGGGCTACTCTTCCTCCATGTCCTCTTCCACGTCATCTTCCTGCTCAAGGTGGAGCCTGCGGTGGCTCCCCAGTGCGCTGCGATCAACTCCTAGTCCTCCCTGTGGCCAGCAAGTCCTCTACGGGGCAGGCCAGTGTCCCTGCCCACTCCCCCAGGCGCCTCAACTAGCCTCTGGCACCTGCCGACTCCTGGGTCACTCCTGCTCCCTGCACTGGCCTCCTGCTCTCCCCTCTGGCCCCCAACTCTCTCCCACGTCTCGCCGGGGACCACCCCTGAGAAGCCTGGGAGTCCCTCGGACTGGGTTTGAACTCTGCCTCTCCTGTTTGAGCCGTGTGGCCTTGGACAAGTCGACTTACTGCCTCACTCTTCTGAGTTTGGGTTTCCTCCCTTGAGGGGGTTAGATGAGATAACTAAGTCCCCACACAGGGCCAGCACGGTGGCGGGGGGTCGGGGCACCAGGCCTGTGAATTCAGGCAGGCCTCTGATGGAAGACGCCAGTCAGACCGACTGGGCTGATGGGCGCCAGCTCGCTGCCAAAGCAGTCCGCCCTTGCTGGTGTTGGCACATGGATTCTGACAGGTAAAGCGGATTCAGCCACCTCACCCAGGGACAGGGGGACAGAAAGGAACCAGATCTGATCTCTGACCTCACAGGAGGGTGGTTTGAGGGGAGACAACTGGGCAGGCCAGGATGCCCCCCGAGTGGAGCCAGCGGTGGTGGGCAGTGAGCGGGTCGGGAGTGCTGGCAGGGATCGCAGGGACCAAGGCAGGGAGGGGCAGCAGGTGAAGTGGGCAGGGCGAGGCGGGGGGAATGTTCTGGAGGGTGGAGAGTTCTTACGAGCGAAGGCCTGGCAGGCTCGTCAGGCTGTGGACTTTGTCCGCAGGGCAGCAAGGAGTGCCTGGCAGGACTGTGCTAGGAATGCCTGGCAGTCTGGAACTGTCCGACTCCACCTTGCTCCATGAGCTCATAGGAGGTGCAGGCCAGCTGGGGGAGCCAAGCAGGAGGCGGCCACAGCTTTTCAGGATGGACAGATGGGCTAGGATGGGCAGGTGGCAGGACACTCCCACCGGCGGCTGACAGAGGCTCTCCGGAGCTGAGGGGGATCGTGCATCCTCCTTCCGTCCCCAAGCAGCCGGGCCACCAGGAGCTCCAGGCTTGCCTTCAGCCACACACCTGCTGGGCCCTGCTGGCCACCTGCCACACCAACCTGGGGGTGACCCCTGGTACCACCGGAGAATGAGCCACACTGATGCTCGTGCGAAACCCCCGAGGGTATGCGTCACTTACTAGGGTCCATGTGTGCATAGCCTCTGACCGTGCGCCCACACTGGGGCTCTCTCAGATGTCAGCGACTGTTCGCCACATTCATGGCTGCCCTTCTCTCAGACTGACGGGGTTCCCCAGGTGGCGGCCATCACACCTGCCCCCGGTGAGGGCACCTCCCTCCTGCAGAAGTCCTCTGGGGTGGATCCTCAAGGCTTACGGTCTCATCTTCCTGTCTGGATCTGGAACTGCTCTGTCTCCTGGCAGATAATTCTCCAGGCGCCTAATTCTGTTCCAGGGCCCGGACGCCCAGCCCGACCCTCATCCTCCCCGAGACAGCCTGGGAAGGGGCAGGGGGTCCCCTGTGCCCTCCAGCCCCTCAGGGACCACAGCACAGCTTTCCTCTTTTGGTGTTTATTGGTTCTAAAGGCCAGGCTTTCTCCCAGGGGAGGCTGAAGGGGCTCATATCTTTTGGGCTCCAAGGACAGGGCGGTTCATGTGCTCGGGGGAGGCCAGGTAGGCCTTGAGCTTGGGCCGGGCTCTGAGGCGCGCCACATAGGCCAAGAGCAGGGGGTGGGAGTCCAAGCAGCCAGGGGCCAGGACCTGGTGATTCAGCAACAGGTCCAGCAGGTTGTAGTCGGCGAAGGAGATCTGCAAGACAGAGGTCAGAAGAGGGCTTGAGCAGGGTCAGAAGAGGAGGGGCCGCAGGGAGCCAGGACCCTGGCTGCTCCAGCGAACCTGCCATGGCTCCCCTCTGGGCCTCAGTGTGCCCTTCTGAGAAATGGATCTACCACGGGCCGGACCCAGCACTCACCTGGTCGCCCACAAGGAAGGCCTGGCCCTCCTGGTTCTGGATCAGCAGGGTCTCAAAAGGCTTCAGGTGCCCCGGCAGCTCCTGAAAATACTTGGCCTTGCCCTCCTCCTGCAAAGGGCAGTGATCCAGTGGCAGCCCCCAGCATGCTTGGCCTGGGTGAGCTCCCGGGCCCCAGCCCTGAGTGCTTACGTAGCTCCGGTAGATGAGCCGGCTGCAGTGCCTACGGACGTCCTCCACGCCATCGTTCACCATGTCCACCAGCGCCGCCTCCCGCTGGTCTTTGCCGTAGAGCCCTGGGTCAGCAGCCAGGCAGTGGATCAGGTTCAGGGCTCAGGATGGGGTGCCCAGGTCCCTCGATTGGGAGGGCCCGCTCTGCCCAGCCCTGCCGCTCCCATCTCCAAAAACCCAGGGGGCTCAGTTGGTTGGGTGACCGACTCTTGATTTCAGCTTGGGCCGTGATCTGGGGGTCCTGGGATCGGGCCCTGAATAGGGCTCTGAGCTCAGTGTGGCGTCTACTTCTCCCTCCTCCTCCCTCTCTGCCCCTCCCACCGCTTGCAAGCACCAACTTGCTCTATATAGCTCTCGTGCTCTCTCAAATAAATAAATAAAATCTTAAATAAAAAAAAAAAAAGCCCAAGGGGACATGCCCAGCTGAGGACCATGCCCCTTCGCGGTCACATCCTAAGTCCCGTTCTGAGACTCAGGAATTCCCTGCCCAAATGGCCCCAAGCTCCCTCCCCCAGATCTGTCCCCCTGCAAGGGCGAACCAAGCCTCTGGTGCGCGTGCCCTGGGCCGGAGGGACAGCCCTGGGCTGTGGGGACTGGTGGGTCCATGTGCAGCGCAGGAGAGCACAGGGGCAGGACGAGGTGGCAAGCCGTGGTCAGAGGCCTTCGTCCTCCCGCCCTGGGTCCCACAGAGGTCAGGGCAGGCTTGGCCTGGCTGCCACCAAGACTCCTCTGTCCCCTTCCCTGATTGCCAGATCCTGCTGGGACCCAGAGCTGGTCTAGACCCCCCAAAGTTAGCCAAAAAAGAGGCAGCTACCTCTCTCAGCCATGTGCCTGCCACCATTATAACAAGGCCACAGGCTTGCTCACTGCGAGCATGGGTTTTCTGGATTCAAGAGAGGCCAAAACAGGAAAAAATGGGCAGGAGGCCTACTGTGAAGCCCCTGGACACACCTTAAGTGGCCTCTAGCCTACACCAGCACATATGTGGGGGCTGGCGGCCTCCTCGGAGTTGTCCTCTGGGAAACGGGCACCGTGAATGCATCTGGCACCATCTGGCTGGCAGAGCCCTCCTAACCCAGGCCCTGCCCCTTCTTTTAGGGTCATCTGGCCTGTCCTCCATGCGGGAGGACTTCTGGTTCTCAGGACATCCACGTGGGACCCATCGGGTACTCTGCAGGACTGGACTGCCCATGACCTCAGAACTCACCAAAGGTGCGGCCCAGGTGTCGCAGGATGGCATTGGACTGGTACAGGGTGAGGTCTCCGTCCTGGAACTTGGGGAGCTGCCCATACAGCTGGGGGGGGCGTGGCATGGATCAGTAAAACACGCTGAGCTCAGCTGCCCCCCACCCTGGTTTTGCCCCATGAAGGCCCAGCACCTGTCCCCTGCCAGGGCGCAGTCACTCACACAGGAGGCCTTGAGCGGGCCCTGCAGCCAGCTCTCCTTGGTCACCACCTCCTCCTTCCAGCTCTGGCCCTGGTCAGCCAGCAGCATGCGCATGGCCTCGCAGCGCCCTGGGGGAGGGGAGAACCGGGTGGTGGGATGTGTGCAGAGACCCCAGCCTCACAGCGCCCTGGGGAGGGGGTCAGGAGTGTGGGGACCGGACAGAAGCTTCAGAGCCTGCTGAAGAGATAAGCCACGGAGGAACAGTGGAGACCATGGAGAGGGAGACAGGCGGAGACCCCAGCCCATGGTGCCGCAGGATGCGGACAGTGAAGCCAGCCAGGACACCGAGAGGATGCGGCCCTGGGAAAGCCGGACCTGGCCCCGCCCCGCCCTCCCGGCCCCGCCCCACGACCCGAGACGCCTCGTCCAGCCTCCGGCCTCGGCGGGACCCCAGGAAGCAGCCTGGGCGGGCGGCCTGGCTCCGCCTGTGCCCTTCGCCCTCCTGAAGGAGCAGGGCCCGCACCTCGGGTGGGGAAGTAGAGGATGGTGTAGGGCGGCACTAGGAGAGACAAACAGACAGGGCGTGAGAGAGGATCCCCCCACGGAGCTGCACCGAGAAGGGGATGGCTCAGCCTGGGTCCTGCCCCCCGCCCCCAGCGTGGTCCAGACCCTACTCACTAGGTCGCGGTGACGTGGAAGAGCAAGCAGCAGGAAGTGGCGGCGAGCCCAGTGGTCTTATATTTATGGTCTGTTCCACACACACCCCCCTTCTCGCCCCACCCAGGAATGCACCGAGTCCCTGAGCGGAGCTTGGCCCTGGGCAAGGCTGGGTGTGGCGGGGGCAGGGCCGGACAGGCTCACCTGCACCTCCGCGCCGTGTACCCTGCCTGAAGGGTACTGACTTCAGCATCACACAGCAACTACCAGCATCCAGGCCACACCCAAACCCACAGAACTGCTCAGGGCCCCCAGACGGCCGGGTCTGAGTCCCCATCTAGCTGCTGGGTCCCCAGCACCAGCACACAGTAGGTGCTCATTAAATGCTTCTTGCATGAATGAGTGCAATTTCGATAGGCATATCCATTTACACCTCCTCTCTCCGGAATAATAATTACGGCAAACCCTTAGGGACTGAGGACTGTGTCGAGGACTTTACAGAGATTACCACCCGAGGACTTGGTATTGTTCTGATCCTCATTTTACAGAGGAGGAACTGAAGCCCAGAGAGGTTAAGTGACTTGCTCAAGGTCACACAGCTAGGCAACAGGACTTAGAGCCAGGGTTGGCCAGCTTCAGGGGCCTCACTTTTAACCCTCAGTCTTTCTTCTGCAAAGGCTTGTTATCTCCAAACCATGTTTTGTCTGAGTCTAAGTGCTAACGCACTCTTCAAATACCAACTGGACCTGGGGATATGGGTGGATGGAAAGACAGACAGACTGAAATGGGCAGGACCTCCTGGGCCTGAGGGGGGCTGTGTTCTTCCAGGCAGAGCCCAGTGCCTGCCTCCCTGCGGGGCCCTTGATGGCACCCCCAGCCCACTTCTGGCTGCCCCTTCCTGGGTGGGGGCAGGGGTTGAGGGGTGTCTCAGTGGGGGTGGTGGTCATCCCCGGGAACTGGAGCCTGACTGAACCAGACGTCTCTCAGCCAGTTTTTCCTGTCAGAGCCACCAGGAGAGAGGAAGGTATCTTTCCCTGGGGCAGTACCCACCTAAAGCCTGGGGGGAAAACCCAAAAGTGCCTAGTCAGGAGCATCCCTTAGCCTCATTTGAGCCCACAGCTGCCTGGGGCTGGGAGGGGTGGGGGAGGTGGGGCCAGGGCTGGGTTCTATCCCTGACTCACAGCTGGAGGAACATCTGCCCGGCACTTAGCAGCTTACAAAGAGCTTTCATGGAAATGGTCTCATTTCATCTCCACCACATCCTGAGAGGGAGGGAGCCTTGTTCGCATTATACTGATGAGGACACCAAGGTTCACAGAGGTTCATTCACCTGCTCTGGCCTGGAACATTCATGCCCTCCCTTTGCACACAAGCATCAAAGGCCTGGGAGACCCCTTCCTGCCTAGTGGGCCAGCCTCCTGCCAGCTCACACCCTCCAGCCATCACACCCAGGCTGTCTCCCAGCTCAGCTCGGCACTATTCGGTGGTGTTCCAGGGGGCTGCTTTTACCCACAGTCCTCTGGCTCCCCAGGCAAGTCAGTGGACTAGCTCCGTGGCCTAGCTCCGTGGCCACCCCGGGGCTTCCTCGGCTGGGGTCCAAAAGCACAGTTTTCCCAGCCCAGTGGGCCAGGAACCTCCCTGTGCCCATCCCCGCACCTCCAGTCCACGTGTATATCAGCACCTGTCTTTGGCAGTTTTTAAAAATATAAACAAACCGCTTTGTTGCTACTTAGATTTCACCCTTATAAAGTGTACATTCAGTGGTTTTAGTATATACAGTGTTGTGCAACCATCACCACTAAGTAGTCCCAGCACATTTTCATCACCCCCCAAAAAACACCCTGTACCCATGGGCAGTCACTCCTCATGCCCCTCCTCCCAACCCCACTAATCTAGTTTGTTGCTATGGATTTGCCTATGCTGGGTATTTCATATAACTGGAATCATACACTCTGTAGCCTTTTGGATCTGGCTGCTTTCACTTTGCAGAATGTTTTTGGGTTCATGTATGTCATAGTGTGTAACAGTGCCTCATTCCTGGGGTGCCTGTGTGGCTCAGTTGCTTAAGCGTCTGCCTTCGGCTCAGGTCATGATCCCGGGGTCCTGGGATCGAGCCCCACATCAGGCTCCTGGCTCAGTGGGGAGCCTGCTTGTCCCTCTCCCTCTGCCTCTCCCCCTGCTCATGCTCTGTGTGTGTGTGTATCTCTGTGTCTCAAATGAATAAATAAAAATCTTTAAAAAAAATAGTGCATCATTCCTGTCTACAGCTGGGTAATATTGCATGACATGAGCATACACATTTTGTCTACCCATTCCTTCAATGATGGACATTTGGGTTGTTTCACTTTTGGGCTTTTATGAGTCAGGCTGCTATGAACATTTGTGTGCAAATTTTTGCAGGAATTTATGCTTTCAATTCCCTTGGGTACATACCCAGGGGTGGACTTGCTAGATCACATGGTAGCTCATTTTGAGGAACTGCCAAACTGTTTCCCAAAGTGGCCGTACCATTTTGTAAACCCAACAGCAGCCTGCGAAGGCCCCAACTTCTCCACGTCTTTACCAACACTGCTACTGTCTTTTTCATTTTAGTTATCCTGGTGAGTGTGAAATAGTATCTCTACATGGTTCTGTGTGCCAAGCCTGGGGTGACTTGTGGGGAACAGGGTGGAGAAGGAGCCATCTTCTTTGCCATCAGGAGAATCACAGCTCAGGGCTGCCTGGCTGGCTCAGTCGGTGGAGCATGCAACTCTTGATCTCGGGGTTGTGAGTTCAAGTCCCAAGTTGGGTGTGGAGCCTACTTAAATAATAATTTTTTTTTTATAAAAAGAAGAATCGCAGCTCAGACTGGAAGAGATAGACACAAGGTTTCATTCACACACTGACTAGTATGTATCAGGCTATGAGTGGGCTAGGCATCATGGCAAACACCACAATAGGTAAGATATGGTCTCCATTCTAATTGACTCTTTCAATGAAGAATATAAAGCCTTCATGAGCAGTCCATCCACCCAGCCATCTATCTACCTCCATCCATCTCTCTGTCTGTCCATCTATATACCCATCTATCCAATCGTCCACCCATCCAACAACCAAACGTTTGACCAGCAGTCCATCAGAACATCTACCTACTTATCTCTCCATCCATCCAGCTACCCATTTACCCACCCAGCCATCCTCCACCTGTCTATCCATCCATCTACCAACTATTTAACAACTAGCCTATCAAATCATCTACCCATCCTTCCATCCAGTCAGCTGCCTATCTGTCCGTCCATCCATCCATCCATCCATCCATCCATCCATCCATCCACCCATCCATCCATGTCTGTCAACCACTGATCCACGTGGACATGCTAGGCACTGGAGCTGAAGCTCCAGCTTGGCTAAGTTGGATTGGGCAAGTCAAGGGCATCAAAATGAATACCCTAGTATGTCGTTAATTGAATACAAGTGAGGAAGGATTTCCAAGCCGGACTTTTTCCACCTAGATACAAAGGCTTTGCTTCTTGATGGAAAACACTTTTATCCACTATACTCTGACCAGTTTATGCCCCCACTACTTTGGCTTATACTTTGGGGCACACATTTCTCCCACTTCCCACCTTCTTAGATGGTCATTTGGACACAGGCTCATTCGTCACACGTGGCATCCACCATTTTTTGAGCCCTTCCTATGTGCCAGGAACCTGCTAGGTCTTTTACTTAATTTTCACAAAGGTACCAGGAGGCCTAGGTCAACCGCCATTTTCCAGATAAGGAAACTGGGGCTCAGAGAGGTGAAATACCTTGCTGAGGGCCACACAGTTAGCACACAGGGAAATCCCGGCCTGTAGGCCTTCTATAAGATCTTGCAGAAAATGCTAGAATTCCTGCGTCTGAAGGATGTTTGCAATGCTGCCTGGGATGTAGTACCCTTCTGGCCTCCAGGAGGAGGCGAAACCCTGAGGGCAGACAGGAAGGTTGCAGGCTGGGGAAGGCTGAACCTTCAAGTGATCAACTTGAGTGGTCACAAGGAGCCCTTCCCACCCTTGACCACTTGGCCGGCGTCCGCTCACTTCTGAATCCTGACCCTTCCTCAGATCCTCAGCCATGCTCAGGGCTGGAGGCTGCTCCCTCTGCCTGCTGGCCACCCTTCCCTTCAGGTGGTCACTCCCACCATCTCTCTGGTCTTGGCTCCCACGCCACATCCTCAGCCCCTGTCACAGCAACGTCTCATTCTCTTCCCCCTCAACAGCCTGTTCTCCATAGTCATTCTGGGCTTGCTGAATGTGCATCCCCCACTGGCTGGAAGGTTCCAGGAGGCAGGGACTGGTTCCCAACACCCGGGAAGGCACATAGTAGGTACTCCATGACGCTTGTTGAAGATACAGCCCCTCTGAAATTTTCTCTGGCCTCTTGCCACCCATACCCTCTCCAGGGGCTACTGACTTCTGCCTCCCTCCTGAGGGCCTCTACCTAACATACCCTG